GGAGACGAATCCATGGGACCCCGAGCCCCAATAGGGGTTTCCAGGGCCCGTAGGGTAGCAACTACGGGAAGCCCGGGCAAGGTGTTGCTAACCGGTTAAGAAACCCAAACAAAACAAGGGTAATTGATAATACTGAAAACCCCTGGGATGTGTACAAGCACGGGGACCTAGCAGAGGGCCACCAAAACAATACCAGGGGAACTATGGGCCCACGAGGCAGAACCTCCACCAGGCAAACAAAAACAAAACAAAAGAAAACCCCGCAAAAGTACACCGTCCCCAGAGCAACAGGAACCGGTCGCCGCTTAGGTGGCAGGCCGCGCAACACCTTGACGCCCTAACCAGCACAATACCACTCCCTACCCAAGGCCAAACAAGGGCCCCAAGCCCCAGCTGGCCCCAAGGGCAAGGCAAATGCCGAGCAGCAAGAACCTCTACGGGAGTGGTTCCCGAATGCCCCAGAGAAGATAACTCTGACACGCAAGGGCAGTACTCACAGGGCGCCTAGGGAAGGAAGCCCCCTAGGCGCATGCAGCCCCGGCACTGATGAAGTACTCCTGGCCACCGCACACCACACAAAAACAGCAGAGAACGCCACACGAGGCAAACACCGCCAAGGAATTTGAGGCCAGAGAAGCGTCTATCCCGGTTGACACTAGCTTGCGAACTGACGGCAGCCGGCGTGGTGAGGTCCAGGGCCCCCCCTCCCCCTCCCGGGGAGGGGAGGGCTGCGCGGACGACCGGCGCGGCAGTAAATTGATTGTTTGATTGTTTTCCTTGGGATTGTAGGGAGTTTTCTACCTCTCTGTTCGGTTTTTGTTGTAGTTTCTTACCATGTGGGGTTTGTTTTGTTACGCCTACCTTTCTGGGTGCCTAACCCCGGTCGATGGCAGATAAGGAAAACCCCCAACCATATGGGGTTTTCCAGGGCCATTGCTCCCTGAAACCTCTCTGAAGGGGCCATGTTCTGGCGCTGGTCCCTGGTAGGTCTGAACTCCATAGTTAATGTCCCGGTCTAACATAACATACATTAGCCCGATAAGCTCCAGGGAGCCGTATTGGCTCCCCACAGAAAAACCAAAGAGGAAGCTGGCAATGCAGCAGCCGACGCAAGACACTCGGAGGCCAAACCCAGCAATCGCACGAGAGGTGGAAGGGACGTACGTCTATGAAGGAACCAGAACAGCCGACGAAGCCAAGCTTGACCTGGCGGGTAGACCATTACAGCAAAAGTCAGGCTCTCGCACAAACCCTTGAGCAACCTCCGGGTGACCTGGAAGCCCCAGAAACAGGCGAAGGTGAGACTGCAGCCGAAGCAGAGATTCCGGAGGGAGAGAGAAGGAAGCATCTCATAGAGTCCCACACAATGAGATGTATAAATGTAGATGTATGCCATACTTTGCAAAATATATGATGAAGGCACACAAACATTCATACCAAAACAGAGATGCAGACCTAGGAAACAGGACTGGTTCAATAGAAAGTGCGAGAGGGCCAGAGATCAAAAGACACAGATATGGAATCATTATAGGAAGAGGCCAAACCCCCAAACATACTAGCGATACAAAGATGCGAGAAACAACTACACGTCAGTAAGGAGAGAGGAAGAGAGGAACTTTGAGAACAGTATAGCAGACAAATGTAAATCAGATCCAGACCTTTTCTATAAATTCATTAAAAGCAAGCTGCAGGTAAAGGATAATATTCAGAGATTGAAAATGGGGGACAGATACACGGAAGATGAAAAGGAAATGTGTGAAACATTAAACAAAAAGTTCCAAAGTGTGTTTGTACAAAATGAGATCTTCAGGGAACCAGACACAATAAGAATTCCAGAGAACAACATAGAGCACATAGAGGTGTCTAGAGACGAAGTGAAATAAATGCTCTTGGAGCTAAGTAAGAACAAAGCAGTTGGCCCAGATGGAGTTTCACCATGGGTTCTGAGAGAATGTGCAGTTGGGCTCACCATACCACTTTGGCTGATTTTTCAGACATCCCTGTGTACAGGAGTCGTAGCAGATGTGTGGAAAAAGGCTAACATAGTTCCAATCTACAAAAGTGGCAGCAGGGAAGACCCCCCCAATTATAGACCTGTATCATTGACAAGTGTAATAGTCAAAATATTGGAAAAAATAATAAAAACTAAATGGGTGGAAAACCTGGAGAGAAATAAAAATTAATGTCAGACAGATTGTATGGTTTTCGATCTGGAAGATCCTGTGCATCGAATTTACTCAGTTTCTATGACAGAGCCACAGAGATTTTACAGAAAAGAGATGGTTAGGTTGACTGCATCTATCTGGACCTAAAAAAGGCTTTCGACAGATTTCCACACAAGAGGTTGTTCTGGAAACTGGAAAATATTGGAGGAGTGACAGGTAAGCTTCTAACATGGATGAAAAATTTTCTGACATAGAAAAATGAGGGCAGTTATCAGAGGCAATGTATCGGACCAGAGAAATGTCACAAATGGAGTACCACAGGGTTCAGTTCTTGCACTGATGATGTACATTGTCTACATAAATGATCTACCAGTTGGAATACAGAATTATATGAACATGTTTGCTGATGATGCTAAGATAATAGGAAGGATAAGAAACTTTGATGATTGTCATGCCCTTCAAGAAGACCTGGACAAAATAAGTACAGTGGTACCTCGGAATACGAGTGTCCCTGAATACGAGTTTTTCGGAATATGAGCAGGATTTGCTCGGAAAATGTGCCTCGGAAGGCGAGGGTTACCTCAGAACACGAGTTTGTTGATACACGTACAGGCCGACTAGCGCGTGGTGGCACAGCGATCACGCCTCAGTTTACCAGTACCTTGCGCCCAGGGACTATCCCGCCTGAATTCTCCACAAAGATTTCTAGTTTTTTGACAGATTTTTGGTCATTTGAGCATAAAAGTTGTTATTATATATCTCGCCATGGGTCCCAAGAAAGTCAGTGGTAAGGTTCAACCAAAGAAAATAGTTGTTAGTAGAGGCAGTAGAGGATGTCCCTTCTTCATTAAGAAAATATGTGAAGTATGGGAAGAACTACAAAGTTTTGTTGAAAAAACTCACCCAGATAAAGCTGTAGCAGGCCATTGCATTGACCTTTTAAATGACAAAGTGATGTCTTACTGCAGACAAGTGTTAAAATGTAGGGAAAAACAAGTATATTTAGACAGATTCTTAGTAAGACAAGCAAGTCTTAGTGGTATGCAGGCAAAACGTGCCAGTGTGTGCACACCAGTGAAGTCCTCACTGCCTGATGTTATAATGGAAGGGGACTCCCCTTCCAAACAGTAACACCTCTTCTCCCTTTTCCTCACCATCTTCCATACGCCAACAGCAGTCATCAACAAGGGTAAGTAATAGCTTGAACATAGTTTTGTAGGATTATTTAGATGAATTAGGTATAAAATTTAGTTTGAAGTGAGGTTTTTGGGTAGTCAGGAACGGATTAATTCATTTCCCATTATTTCTTATGGGGAAATTAGCTTCGGAATACGAGTTTTCGGAATACGAGCTGTCTCCAGCAACGGATTAAACTCTTAAACCGAGGTACCACTGTATATGGAGCACCACTTGGCAAATGGAATTTAATGTGAATAAATGCCATGTTATGGAATGTGGAATAGGTGAACATAGACCCCACACAACCTATAAATTATGTGAGAAATCCTTAAAGAATTCTGATAAAGAAAGATATCTAGGAGTGGTTTTAGATAGAAAACTATCACCTGAGGACCACATAAAGAATATTGTGCGAGGAGTCTATGCTATGCTTTCTAACTTCAGAATTGCTTTTAAATACATGGATGGCGAAATACTAAAGAAATTGTTCACGACTTTTGTTAAGCCAAAGCTAGAATATGCAGCAGTTGTGTGGTGCTCATATCTTAAGAAGCACATCAACAAACTGGTAAAGGTGCAAAGACATGCTACTAAGTGGCTCCAGGAACTGAAGGGCAAGAGCTACGAGGAGAGGTTAGAGGCATTAAATATGCCAAAACTAGAAGACAGAAGAAAAAGAGGTGATATGATCACTACATACAAAATAGTAACAGGAATTGATAAAATCGACAAGGAAGATTTTCCGAGACCTGGAACTTCAAGAACAAGAGGTTATAGATTTAAACTAATTAAACAAAGATGCCGAAGAAATATAACAAAAATTAACTTTCGCAAACAGAGTGGTAGACGGTTGGAATAAGTTAAGTGAGAAGGTGGTGGAGGCCAAAACTGTCAGTAGTTTCAAAGCGTTATATGATGAAGAGTGCTGGGTAGACGGGACACCACGAGCGTAGCTCTCATCCTGTAACTACACTTAGGTAATTACACTTAGGTAATTACAAGATCCAGCCAAGACCGAACCTAGAAGGCCTAGAACTCCATGCGCATTGACTTATGCTAGAGTCTTGTACATTCATATCAGCCCGGTTCGTTCCGGGGAGCCGAAGAGGCTCTCCCCAGAAAACAATTTTGGTTTACTTGAAATGAATATGAATAGTATCACAAATACTATACGCAATTTAAAAAAAAAATCAACAGACTTGTAGGCTTTGGGGTTCCTCTAGGCATTTCTTCCCTTTTACAATTCAGTAAATTAACAGGAATGTTTAGTTTGTAGCTAGTCAAATGACATATCACAGGATGGCATATCCTATGATACAAATTAGAATAATGAGCACAGGAGGTTTCAATGATTACAGCTTGCCTTTATAATGAGAAGAGACTAGGTAGAGTACATGCAGTAGTGGTATATATTGACCGCTGCACACACCAACAACCTTGCACCTCACTTACCTTTATAATGAGAAGAGACTAGGTAGAGTACATGCAGTAGTGGTATATATTGACCGCTGCACACACCAACAACCTTGCACCTCACTTACCTTTATAATTACATTACTAATGCACACCTCAACTTATTAGTCTATATTAGCAATACTGTACAGTAGTAAACATATACAATATAATTTACGACAAATTATTCTAAAATGTACCTACCAGAGCTAAGAAGCCAATGATGACTGTTCCCCTTTGCAGAGGAATGCAGCCTATGCATGACTTGACACGTAAGGTTGGCAAAGCCATTTTCGTGGATCCCTGATCCACTTTTGTTATATCTGTGAAAGGAAAGTTTTTAATTTAAATACTGAACAAACAAGCGCTATCGGCGTTCTGAAAAAAATCATACCCTATGTGATATCGGCGCTTCGCGCACCTAAGCGGTAAGACCGAAAAGTGTATACTCTTTTGACTGTCCTGACACTAAATGTAGGCGTACGTATTTAAATTTGGTATCACTGTGTTCGCAATAAAATTGTCTATAAGAACATACCTATAAAATGCCGCCAAAGCATAAGGCATATCAACACCAAATAAAAAACTATTCAGATCACTTGCCGAGAGCGCCAAACAACAACACAATGTTTCCACTCTCTTAATGGTTGTGAAGCCCACAGTTGTGCTACAGCGTTAATTTTGGTATCACTGAAATCGCAATAAAATTCTCTACATGGACATATGCATATAAATATAGATTCAATGTCATAGCCCACCCAAAACAGTGTGGGAAGTGGCCGAAGTGTTACCCGCGGCGGCATATCGGCGAAACTCGCTTTGAAAAGTATATATTCAATTCACTGTCCTAACATTATTTTTCGATGTATGTATTTCATTTTTGTTCCAATGTGTTCGCAATAGAATGTTCTATAAGAACATAAATATTAAAGGTCACATAAGGATGCGTTCGACCGGCAACATATATAAAAACTACGTCGATTATTCTCGTCGTGTCAATAATACAATTGTTTTACCACGATGATTCACTGCCACGCCGTTCTCTTTAATAAGCTGTTCGGCTATTAGAGAAAACGTACATTTCATGGCAAACATTTGTAAACTATTCCCAAGTTGATCGGATAATAAATGGATTTTATACAAATATTTTTTCTCGTGACTCCCGAGCGTGGCACGCCAGCGTAGTCAGTAAGAATATTGGTGACGAATATGTTGTCACCAATGTGCGAAAGTGTTAAACCTTATTAGATAGCCAAAAACCAGTGTTGAATGTAATGAAACACCATTTTCTGGGTGAGTCCCGGAGGCTCCCCGGACCTATCCATGGCTGATATGGATATCCTAACTATTTTGCATCAGTCGATGTGGGTGGAGTTCTAGGCCTACCGGGGACCACGAGCCAGAACCTGGCCCCCTCAGAGAGGCATGGGGAGTAATGGCCCATAGAAAAAAAAAAAAAAAAAAAAAAAAAAAAATAGAATGCACATGTGATTTGGAGCATTCCATATCTGCCATCGACCGGGACAGGCACCCAGAAAGGTAAGTGCCCCAAAACAAACCCCTATTCTGGTTAACAACAAAATTGACAAACGAGTGGACAGAACTCCCCAAAAGAAAAACAAGCAAATCAGCATGACGTCACACGAGCCGCGCCGCATGTCTGCGCAGCTCCCCCCTCCCTGGAAGGGGGAAGGGGGAGCCCCAGACCCCCGAGCCGGCGATCCACACCTCAGTTATGAGGCTGGACATCAAAAACCGCGAAAAAACGCCGACCGGAGGGCGGGAGGGATGCCGGGGAGCCTCTGGGACTCACCCAGAAAATGGCGTTTCATTACATTCAATGCTTGTTTTCTGGGGGGAGCCCCTGCGGCTCCCCGGAGCTACCTCACCAAAGACTACCAAGAAAAACCAAGGGCACTTACCCGGGAGGCGGTTGGTGCTCCACACCTCAAGACGAAGCCGAGACCACGGGCTGCAACCACCGACCTAAGACAACACAGGCCCGACTGGGCCCAGGAACGTTAACAAGGTAGCGTGCAGCCAGGACCCTGTTCGACCGCCAAAATCCCCGTGCCCGAAATGTCAGCCCAAGACATATTGCCGAAGACAGCAGCAAGAGCAGCGAACTTACGAATGTCATGGGCACAGGGATAGACCGCAGGCTGGCTGGATTTAATGACCCTGTGGACGACCTGAGAGACCCGAACCCGCAAACAGGGAAGACGGGAAACCGGATCAACCCAAAGCGCGTCCCCGGACACTGAAGCCGTGGCGCGCAGATAACGGCGGAGGGCCGCAACCGGAAACAACACATGGTGAACCCCTGGCCTGACAAACCACGCATCAACAACCCAAGGACGCCTCCGGAAAGCAGCAGTCTCATTCTTCGCCAGAAAAGAGGGAGACGGCTGCAAACGAACAAACCGAAGACCACGACCAAAGGAGCAAAAACCCCTGCGCCGGAGAAGAGCATGAAGCTCTGCCACACGACCCCCAGAGGCTAATGCCAACAGAAAAAGAGCCTTAGCAAAGCAATCTTGAACCGAAGGGGCCACCACAAAACGAGGAGTGGAAAGATAGAAGAGCACTCTGTCCAAAGACCAGGACGGCTCAGGCGGCGCACGAGCAGGCCGGAGGTGAAACAACGCCCAAGACAGCTTGCGAAACGGCGCAGAAGTAACATCAATACCGAAAGCTAGCTGCAGCGGCTCCGCCAGCGCCGCACGATACGAGGCGACAGTATTAGGCATCAGATGACGGTCCTGAAACAACCAAGAGAGAAAGGACAACACCACCCGAACCGAAAGCGAGGAGCAATGACGAAGGGTCAAAAAGAACCGGAAGGACTGCCAGGAAACTTCATACTGCCGCCAAGAGGAAACTTGCAGGTGAGAAACCAATAACTCAGACATAGGGCGGCAAGAGGAAGAAGCCGCCTGAATATAACGTTCTACCGCAGAAGCCTCAAAAAGCAGAGGACAAAAGGGAGAAGACAACCTAAGACCCAGGGCCCAAGCGGATTCCAAAGAGGAAGCCAGGACCGCCTGACTACACGCGAAGCGCGCAGCGAAAAACCGCAGCAACGCCTCCCGCAGGATAGGCGCAAAGAGCTTCAACATAGCAGACGACGCCCGAGCAGCGGAGACCAAGGCGTCAGACCCCAGAACGGCCCCAAGCGCCTCAACATCCTCCGCAAGCCAATCTGAAGATAGCTCCAGGAGGGAAAAGAAACGCAGGATCGAAGCCAAAAAGCCACAAGCGCGCAAATCCTCCGCCACAAGAGCAGCCGACAGGGAAGGAACCTGAACATGGAGCTGCACTGCACCAACGTCCCGTAGAAGGGCAGGAGCAAAAAGACACTCATTAAGGTGCTCAAAATCCCCCCCCCCCCCCCAGGTAAACCTGGACTACCGTCAACGCCTCACGACACTCAAACGTGCGGGTTCGACAGAACGAGTCCCAAGCATCCAGCGAAAACAAGGGGCAGTCTGCAAGCCAGGACAACCCCGGAACCTCATAACGAACCCAGTAAGGACATGAAGATCCAAACCTGAAGGAAGAAGGATCCATTATGGAGGCTTACTCTGGGTCACGCAGGAAGGAAGCCCCCAAGGCCGACCGCACCTCAGATGGAGAGATGCGGGAAGCCGAAAACCTCCAGAAAGACGGAACCAAAGGACCCACAGGGACACGGAACCGAACCCGGGGAGGAGCAGAACCCAAGTCCAAATTGTACGCAGAAGGGGGAAAGGAAAACCCCCACTCCTTGCAACAGTAAGCCCCGCTCAGAAGGACTGAAAATCGAGGCGGGGTCCAATGGAGCCCAAGGCCCTCAAGTCAGCTCCTCCCCAACCCCAGGAGCCTCCACACCAGGCTCCGGGGCCAAGCCATCCTCCAAAACCCTGGCCTCACAAGAAAAAGCCGGGGCAGCCGAAAGCTCCAGAAGAGAAGGGGCCCACTGGTCAAACCCCGGAGTATCGCCCGGAGGAACAGACTCGAATGCCTCCGTAGCCCCCCCGGACGGGGCAACCCCCGAAACTGCCCGAGTCTCAGAAACCGCTAAACCCCACCCCGACCCCGAAGCCCTCAGACGCTTAGGGGCCGGAAGCAGGGACGGGGGGGACCGAATGAACCACCGAAGGGGAAGAACAATGGGGCATGGACGGAACCAAGGCCGAAGCGACCAACACCCCCAAGTCTGGGTCCCTATACACAAAGCGGGGCAGCCGCGGGGCGTCCGGGGAAACAAGAACCCGCACGCGTTGCAACAACCTAAACCTACCATGCAACGCACAAGCTCCCTGCACCAGAAGTAACTCATCAGCAGACTGGGTGAATTGAGTCACAAACAAGCAACACAGCTCGCAGGACTCAGGGTCGAATGTGTCACCGACCCAACAGGCAGCATGATGGAGGCAAAAACAATGAGAGTCACCCTGAGACAAGGGGACAGAGCAACCCTCAAACTCGCACAAAGCGAGAGGGGACGCAAGGGTCTCCTCCATCGGACCCAAGAGCCCCTGCGGGGTTTCCCAGGGCCCCTAGACTGGGTCTGCTAAGGGTTATCCCAGGCAGGGCACTGCTAACCGGCGCCCCAAACTACCAAGCAATCTACTAAAAGCTGAACCCACGGGACGTGTCCACTTGCGAGGGCAAAGCAGGGGGTGCCACCACACAAACGACCCTAATATAAAGGGAGGGAAAAACAAAGCAGACCCCCCCCCCCCACCAGGCAAACACAAAAAGAAAAGAAAAACCACCCAAGTGGACAACGTACCCAGAGGAAACAGAGCCGGCCGACGTTAGAGGTGCAAACTAGCTACGCAGTACCCTGCGCCCCACCAGCGCAATGACTACCACTTACCCCAAGGTAAACAAGGGAGGAAAACCCCCAACACTCAGGGCGGCCAAACGCCAAGCAGTGAAAAGCTAACAGAGGTAGACCCAAGGTGACTTGTGGAAGGCAACCCCAAGCCCCAAGGGCGGTACTTACAGGACACTCAGGGAAGGTGACCCTAAGCACATGCAGCTCGAGTACCTCAGAATACTACTCCCAGCTCACACGACCACCATAAGAGCAGCACTGAAAACAAGTCACAGCACTGAGACAAGACTGGAGCTGGAGCCACACGACAGTGCATTATCCCATCAGCCGAGGAACTTGGGCGGGGATCGCCGGCGCGGGGGTCTGGGGCTCCCCCTTCCCCTCCCGGGGAGGGGGGAGCTGCACAGACATGCGGCGCGGCTCGTGTGACATCATGCTGGTTTGCTTGTTTTTCTTTTGGGGAGTTCTGTCCACTCGTTTGTCAATTTTGTTGTTAAC